AAAGTGAGCCTGGGGAGTTCCAGGAGCTGTGACAGTCAGCCCAATGTTTGCTGTAGTGAAACGATTGCTGGCAGAGTAGTGCAAGTTAGTGGGCAGAGGCTGGCATTGAGGTTTAGCCTCAAGGGCTTGGACTGTTGCTTAGCTGGCCCCAGGGAGCATAGTGCTAGCACCCTGGCCTTGGGCAGGACCCAAGCAGCCCCTCTCATGCCCCATGGCTGTTGCCCTCCTCCCTCAACCTGACATACACTTCCTTCCCATTTTATGAAAGGTCAGACTGCTCAGCTTCCTTTCATTCTTCCTGTGGGCATCTGTTGCACCCTTTCTGTGAGCTTCAAACTAGACTTGTCCTGGAGGAGCCATCAGTAAAGTCAGACTGTGTCCCTGCCCTCATAGGGCTGATAGAGAAGTGGGGGCAGACAGCAGACCCATCTGCGAGTCAGTGGAAAGGCTATTTAAGGTGGCCATGGGGCTGTGGGTATAGTATTCCAGGGGAGCATCAGGGGAAAGGTGAGATGGCACCAGGTAGAGAGATCTGCAGGGACCAAGGTGGGAACAAGTGTGGCCAGAGGGCCGTTCACAAAGAGGGGTTGGGGGATGTGGGGGAGATGAGCCAGCGGGTAGGCAGGTAGACTGAGGCATGGAGCTGACTCTTGCCCTGAGGCAGGTGCAGCCCAAAGGCCTTCAAGCAGAGCAGTTAGACGTCCTCTCTGCCTTCTGCTGTGAAGCAGGGATGGTCCAGATAGTGGGCAAGGGAGGACATAAGGTGCCTGTATGCATCTGCGATTCTTTGCCCTACTTCTCTTCAGGACCTTACAGCCCACCATCTGCCCTCTGTCAGAGCAGGGTCTATATGCATAAGCCTCAGGGCCCATGCAGCCAAGGAAAATGTGCCATTATCTGGTAAGTGGCTCCATGGGCCTCCTCCCATTCTCAGAGGTGCCTATGAGCCAGCAGTGTGACAGGTTGCATGAGGCCATGATGGCTGGCTCAGTGTTCAGCACACAGCACATGCCCAGGCAGATTTGTAAAGTGACTTGCGCACCCATAGTAGATAGGTCGGGGGTCAGGGGAAGAGCCCAGGCCTCAGACTCCTTGCAGCCTGGACCAGATGCCAGGGATGGCTCTGCCACTTCCTGGCTCTGGGACCTTGGGCAAGCTCTTGAATTTCTCTGAGCCTCTATTTCCTCATTGGTAGACTAGCAATTCTGTGAGGTGAGGGGTTATGGCACTGTGCTCAGCCCAGGAGGCATCATGTTGCCTTACGTCACCACACCACACCACAAAGCTGCAGGGCAGGCTTTATGCTGCAGGTGCACGGTGCAAGTCAGATCCCCTTCCCCCTTGCAGAGGTTCAGCAAGGGCCCAACACAGTCTCTGCCCCCTCCTCCACCCCCCCAGCCTGGCACCCATGATTCCCCAGACAGGTCTCAGCCCTCCCTGTCAGCACCTATCTGGGGCCTCAGGCATGAATCAGCTAAGGGCCCCCATAACACTTTGTGCCTTAGCACCGATCAGCTCTCTTTCTCTGGTGGGCCCGGGAGACAGCTGGAGAAACACACTCTCCACCAGTACACAGTAGCCAGGTCTGCGGGAAGCTAATTTGTAATCCAGGTTGGGTTTGACAGGCTAGTGCTTTCTGCACCCTTTGTCCCAGAAACCTCTCCCACTGCCTTCTCCCTTTCTGCTCCTATCTAGGGGACAGACTGGCTTGGTGCAGGTGGAGTGGTGGAAAACAAACCAGAGAGGAATGTCCATTCCCGTCCCATGGCCACAGGTCCTGCAACAAGGCAGCTGGGCAGGGAAGCAAAGTCTATGTGACTCTCTCCATCCTGGCCTCAGTGCTTTCTCTTGTGTCCCCAGCCAGAAGGAAGTCTTTGTTGAGGTTTTACTTTCTTGGTATTCTTAGGAAAATGATGGCTACTGGAGATGCTTCTTCAAGCCAGGCTCTCAAATCTCTTCCCGCTGGCCTCAAGTGCTGCTACTTAAAGAGGTCTTCTGGACATTTTTCCAAGTTCATGAGGAGCCCCAGAAGCAGCTTTGGGGTCATGACTCTTGGGTAACTTTTCTCAGGCCAGGCCTGTGCCCTGGGTCATGGAGCTGGAGGAGTGGTTTGCCACAGCATTGAGGCCAGGGCCATAGAGGAGAGGAAGGGTATGCACAGGCTCAGTCCCCTAGGTGGCCTGTCTCTGCTCTGGGCTCCGCAGCCCCTGGTCTTAGTACTTACTCCCTGCCTCATAGTCCCCTGGCTCCCCACTGGCCTTATGGGCAGCCACATCTGATCCCCTCCACCTCCTTGGCTAGGCCCTGACTGTCCCCGGTGTCTGGGCACTTGCTTCAGTGAGTCCCTTATCCCCATAACAGCCTTGTGCAAACCACAGCCCAGGTATCACCTTCTCCCAGAGCCTCCCTGACCTTCTCAGACTGGGTGAAAGGTAGGTCTCCTTTGCAGCCTACCTCCATGGTCAGGTGTGCTCAGCAGTGGTATTAGAAGTGTAGGTGACGGACCAGGCATGGTGGCTCGTGTCTGTAATTCCAACACTGTGGGAGGCCAAGGCGGGCAGATCACTTGACGTCAGGAGTTCGAGACCAGCCTGGGCAACATGGTGAAACCCCATCTCTACTAAAAATACAAAAATTAGCCAGGCATAGTGGCAGGCACCTGTAGTCCCAGCTACTCAGGAGGTTGAAGCAGGAGAATCACTTGAATGACTTGGAGGTTTCAGTGAGCTGAGAGCATACCACTACACTCCACCCTGGGTTACTGAGTGAGATTCTGTCTCAAAAAAAAAAAAAGTACAGTGTCCCACATCACCTTCTTGAGTCCACCTATGACTGATTAGACCAGGATGGACACCTGCCTGGGCTGAACCTCTCAGATCTCCTTTGGGAAAGACTTTGAACCAAGTGTGTCACAGTGGGTCATGGCTGAGCACTGATGCAGGTTGTGAGCCCCTTTCTTGGGCTTCCTGAGACCCATCTGCATCTTCCTCTTGGAGCCCTGCTCTACTTACTAGTCTTTGAGCTAATCTTTCATTTTATTCCTTTTAATGAAGCATACCTGAACCCCCACCCCTTCTCCCTACCCTGTACTCAGTTTGTCTGCAGCTGACCCTCCCTCCTTGGACCTGCTGTAGAGCAGGGGCATGTGGCCTGGGATAGGGTGGGGTGGGGTGCAGAGGTGGGAGGCATTATGTGAGAACTTGGAACCAGCCTCAAGAGGCTTTTGAATGAGTGGCCCGGGAAGCGGGCTTTCCAAGGCATGGCTGCCAGGCATTACTGGGGACTTTTTTTTTTTTTTTTTTTTGAGGTGGAGTCTCACTTCTGTCACCAGGCTGGAGTGCAGTGGCGTAATCTCGGCTCACTGCAACCTCCGCCTCCCAAGTTCAAGTGATTCTCCTGCCTCACCCTCTTGAGTAGCTGGGATTACAGGTGTGTGCTACCACACCAGGCTAATTATTTTATTTTTAGTAGAGATGGGGTTTCTCCGTGTTGGTCAGGCTGGTCTCGAACTCCCAACCTCAGGTGATCCACTCGCCTCAGCCTCTCAAAGTGCTGGGATTACACGCGTGAGCCACCGCGCCCAGCTGCTGGGGACACTTGAAAGTAAACTACAAGTTGTTCCTCCTAGGTGCTAGAGCTCAGAAGTTGAAGGTCAGGACTGGGTATTTTACTGTTTTCTGTGAGTGTGAGCAAAGTGGCTTCTGCTCTCAACTGGGAGCCTGCCTCCGGGGTCTGAGGACCCTCTCACTGCCCAGGTTGTTCCCTCCTCTGCCTGTTTCTCCTTCCCCTCAGGGAGGGGCAGGCAGGGGGTCCCTCAGCAGACGGGAAGCTCACAGTGAATGGAGCTTCCTACATACAGCCCTGGGCCCTGCCCAGTGCTAGGGAGCAGCCCTCAGTCCCTACAGCAGCCCAGTGGGGGCAGAAGGGTAGCCCTCTGTGCAGAGACAGGAGCAAAGGCTTGCAGGCAGGCTAGCATGGGCCCCACAGCCAGCCAGTCAGGGAGCTGGATTTGCACTTTTGCCTCATGATGATTGGGGAAACAGTTCAGTATGCTGAGCCTGGCCAGCAGTGGGCAGAATGGGACCAGGTGGGATAAGCTTGTAGATCAAGAAGTGAGAGGGCTTTCGGAGCAGCTGGAGTGCAAGGTGATGAAGGCCTGTGCCCAGTGCTGGGAAAGGTGAGCAAGGGACCTGAGCAGGAGGGGAGGACAGATTGGCCGGGACAGTGGGTACTGTGGAAAGGGTAGAGGGTCTGGCATTGTGCAGTCCCAGGTGCCAAGCCCAGCTCTGCCCATTGCCAGCCCTTTCCCTGTAGGACAGCATGGTCCTGAGGTGGAGTGAGATGGCCAGTGCAAGGTGCTTGGCTGCTGTGGTGAAGACCAGAGAGGGAGGAGTGGCTGGCTAGGCAGCTGGTGGGAAGGCTTGCTCTATGGGCCAGTGAGAAGGCCCCAGAGAAGGCTGAGGCAGCCAGGTCTGCGCCCACCCTCTTACCCTACAGCATTCTCCCCTGGGCCTGGATTCCACGAAGAGGCTCTTTGCCCAGAGATCACTGACCTAAGTACTGTGGCCAGAGCCTGGCCCTCCTAGCCTAAGGCAGCTGTACCACCAGCCATGAATAAGGAATGCTTTTCCTGACAAATAAGTCAAAGCTGCTATTTGGACTTGTGGAGGGCCCCTGACAGAGGCAGGTACTGGGTCCATGTGGCAGGTTTATAGGGTTGGTCAGGCCAGGGGTCTCTGTCAGTCCCCATCTTGGGCAGTCAAGGACTACACTCCCAAACCAGTGGTGCTGGGCAAGAGATCAGTTCTGAAAATGCATCCCACAGCCTGAAGATCAAAGCCCATGGCCAGAACCGCCTAGAGCTGTGGAATCAATGTATGCAGGAACTGCTGCTCATCGTGGTTTGCTGTGCAGCCAGGAAGGAGGGGACCGCCTGCCTTCCCTGTGGGCGCCCTGAGCAGCCCACACACTCACTTCCAACCTACTTCTTGTTTCCCCAGAACCTCCAGTGGGCCCGCGACGTGTTGCTAGGCAGCAGTATCCCGTGGCAACAACTGCAGCACATGCCGGCACAGGGGCTCTTCTGCGAGAGGAACAAGACCAATTTCTTCAACGTGAGTACTTTGCCTTGTTGATTTCCAAGACGGTTTGTTGCCACTGCTTTTCACTGAAGGCGCATGAATTGACCCCCTAGGTGGGTGTTCCCAGGGCCTCAGGTTTGTGGCATCCTCAGAGGGCAGGCAGGGTGGTGCAGTCGAGAGTGAGCCAGACTCCGGTGTAGGGCTATGATTGCTGAGCGACTTCTGGCAAGTCACTGCCACCTCCTGTGGGGAGAGGCATGGATGAACTTGGTATGTTCTCCAAAGCCCCAGGTATTCTGGGGCCACACAGGCAGTGATGAGAGGGGTACAGGTCCAGGTTCCTCCTCCTGCTGGAGCAGCTCCTCCTATGGTCTCAAGCACGCAGGAGATTCTGACTGCTTAAAAAACAAGTGCGGGCCGGGCGCGGTGGCTCACGCCTGTAGTCCCAGCACTTTGGGAGGCTGAGGCAGGTGAATCACAAGGTCAGGAGTTTGAGACCAGCCTGGCCAGCATAGCGAAACCCCATCTCTACTAAATATACATAAATTAGCTGGGCGTGGTGGCGGGCACCTGTAATCCCAGCTACTTGGGAAGCCGAGGCAGGAGAATTGCTTGAGCCCAGGAGGCAGAGGTTGCGGTGAGCCCAGATCATGCCATTGCACTCCAGCCTGGGGGACCAGAGCAAGACTCTGTCTCAAACAAACAAACAAAAAACAAGTGGGGCCTGGGTGCAGTGGCTCATACCTGTAATCCCAGCACTTTGGGAGGCCGAGGCAGGCAGATCACCTGAGGTCAGAAGTTTGAGGCCAGCCTGGCCAACATGGTGAAACCCTGTCTCTACTAAAATACAAAAATTAGCTGGGCGTGGTGGCAGGCACCTGTAATCCCAGCTACTCAGGAGGCTGAGGCAGAAGAATTGCTTGAACCCGGGAGGCGGAGGTTGCAGTGAGCCGAGATGGCGCCATTGCACTCCAGCCTGGGCGACAGAGCCAGACTCCCTCTCAAAAAAAAAAAATGTGACCAATATTGGGCTTTCGGCGCACTTAAGCCCTGCTATTCCGTGTGAGGTAGAGACTTACTCCTTGAGCAGGGCAGGGCCAATCACCTAAGCCTGCCTGCCTCTCGTCCCAAAGACCTACATTTGCTCCTCTTGACACCCCACCTGGATCTACCCTCCCCCATTTCCTCTGCCCTGCATGGAGACAGCTGGCCCCTCATTCCCCTCTACCTCCAAGTCCTTACCTATCCACCGCCCCTCCCAGCATGGCCAGCTCCCAGCTGAGTGACTTTGGCAGGTCATTCATCCCCTCTGAGCTTTTGTTTCTTCTGTATTTTCCTTGATTCCCTGTTACTCATGGAGAAACTGAAGGGCAGAGTTGGCCTGAACAGGAGCTGAGGAGAGCAGGTTTCAGGTCTGGGGGTGTGTAACAGGCCAGTTCTCAGGGTACGTGGGCAGGCAGGTCCCCACTGAGAGCCAGCCAGCTGGTGGGAGTGTCTGGGCCCATGGCTCTTCTCCCAGGATGTGGTCTTCTGGGGTCAGAGTAGCAGCTTCAGATCCTGAAAGCCCTGCATCTGCGCACCCTCTCTGTTTTGGTATTTTAGAGACAAGTAGGAGGTGTTATTGGTAATCAATCTAGATGATACCAAGGGATTTGCCGCAAAAGAGAGGTGCCCTCTCACCTGCATGCCCAGGCAACAGCTACTTCCCCGCAACGGAAACCGTTTGTTGTCCCATGTGTGTGCTCTTCTAGAGGGCATCTGCCCATTTACATAGATGTGCACAAAAGGCAAAAGTGCACATACTTTTCTTCCCCTTGTATTTTCTCACTAAACAATATTCTTTTTGATAGCCACTCATTCTTTTTGATAGCTACTGCATAGTATTCCCAACATTGGGATGTTCCACAGTTTACCTACCCATCCCTTTTTTTTTTTTTTTTGGAGATAAGGGTCTTGCTCTGTCACCCAGGCTTGAGTGCAGTGGCGTAATCTTGGGTCACTGCAACCTCCACGTCCTGGGTTCAAGCAATTCTCCTGCTTTAGCCTCACAAGTAACTGGGACTACAGGTCAGCACCACCACGCCCAGCTAATTTTTGTATTTTTTTTTTTGGTAGAGACAGGGTTTCACCATGTTGACCAGGCTGATCTTGAACTCCTGGCCTCAAGTGATCTGCCCTCCTTGGCCTCCCAAAGTGCTGGGATTACAGGTGTGAGCCACTGTGCCCGGCCCCCCATTCCTTATTGAGGGACACTTAGATTAGTTCCAGTCTTTTTTACTACAAACAATACATCACACACACACATACACACACACACAGAGAAAGGCTCAGTGCTTCACTTATGAAGCACTTCCTTGACTGTGATATTACGCTAATTTTAACTTCTATCCAAAAGTTGGTGTCCTTCATGATCATTTTCTAGTGGATTATTGGTTCTTTTCCTATTGATTAATAAGAACTCTTTATATATCAATGAAATAAGCCCTTTGTCAATGTTTTGAAAATCTGTTTTTCTGCAGCTGATAGACTAGAGTTAGAGCTAGACAAGTTGCTTAATTTCCCTGTCCTGGGTTCCTCACCTTGAAAGTGGGCTTCTATTACCTGCCTTGAAGAGTAACTGTAGGAATCAAGTTAGATAATGGGGTAATATTTCTGACACAGGATCTGGCACATGGTAGGTACTTAAGAAAATAGTTTCCCTCCCTCCCTCTCTTCCTCTCTCCTTTTGGTGCTTTGCCCTTAAAGCCTATGCAGTGATATGGGAAGGAAGGACCCAACCTCCATGTCTTCCTCTTTGGGTAAGACCTCAGCCTTTCTAATGATAAAGCTAGGGAAGCTGGCCTGCCAGATGCCTGCTCCCCAGAGCACATCCAAGTTGGCAGCCACATGCTACAGGCCCCTTTCCCATTGGGCTCACTCCCTGTACCTTCTCCTTAGTTTCTGGGACCTTCCAAAATGAGTCTTGCAGAAAAGCAGTCTGAGGCTGTGTGCCTGTGGCAGGGAAGGCTGGTACAGCCCCATGTAGGCCTGGCACATAGGCAATGCCGTCCCTGCAGCTGGAAGCCCCTGAAGATCAGAGCCACCCCAGTCCAGACTGGGTGTTTTGGTGGTTTTGCCTCTTCCAGGAGAGTTGTTCGTTCCTCCATGCTTCCCAGTGACCTGCTGCTTTTACCACCCTCTGGGGCCTCTGTCCTCGTCTGCTTTCTTACCTCTTCTCTTTAGGGATAGGTTTGGGCTACTTGTGCTCCTTGAGCTATGCCTAGTGTCCAGCATGTCAAGAAATGCTGGGCAGTTCCTGAACACTTTCAGCACATGAGTCTATCTGGCATATTCCCAAACCTGGGGAAACTGCATACTAACGTGTTTATGAAGGAGCATTTAGGGCAGCCTTGGCTGTCTCTGCTGGAGTGGGGCTGTGTCTCTGGTAGATGGCCTATAGGTTGGGATGAGCAGACTGGCTCACCTCCCTTCTAGCCTGCACTGGAGTTTACTGTTTAGTCCAGGGGGAGGCAAAGGCGGCAGGTGGGTGCTGGCCCTTGAGAGGCAGTAGAGGGAGGTTGAGGCTGGGGACATCAGCACCCTAATCCCTGTCCCTCTCAACCCACTGTCCTGGGCCATCCACACTACCCAAGCTTTGTGTTGCTCAGCCTGTCATCCTTAGAGCTTGGGTGGGGGGCACTTCTGTTATTTTTTAATGATAGGTTTTGAAAATTGTGAGAGTTGTAGTTTAGGAAAAACTCAAACCCCTTTTCCTTTGTTCTCACACCAACACAACAGTCAACACAGACAGAAGACTTCTGTGACCAAGTCGGGGACGGATTTTTTCCCACCAACAAATAAGCAATCAATTCTGTAGCAGACACCAGCTGGGTGTCCTCTAATTGAATTAAATTCCAACATTATCTTTTTTTTTTTTGAGACAGCACTGTGCTCTGTCACCTAGGCCCTTGGGGGCCCTACCTCAGCCTGCCAGATAGCTGGGACTACAGACATGCACCACCATGCCCAGCCAATTTTTTAATTTTTTGTAGAGATGGAATCTTGCTATATTGCCCAGGCTCAATTTCAACACCTGGAGATAGTGTCAGATCCCACAGGTTGAGGGCTCAGTCCTCAGAACATCCCCCGCTTCAGACACTAGTCACAAGTCTGGGCCTCTGAAATGTCTAACTAACTGGCTTCAAGTTCATGTTCCTACAACCCCCTCTTTGGGTTTGATTAATTTGCTGAAGTGGCTTACAGAACTCAGAGAAACACATTTCCCAGTTTATTATAAGGGATGTTACAGGAGGATATGGGGAAGGCTATATCCTCCTGTAATTGTTTCTCTCCAGGCATGCCACCCACCAGGAGCTTTCGTGTATTTAGTTATCTGGAAGCTCAGAAACCTGTCCTCTTTGGCCTTTTGTCGTGATTGAAACATGGACAACTATATCAAAATGTTACTGGACAAAAAGATTATTATCTAAACCCAGCGAGACCTGTCTGTTCAGATTCTTCTTGCCCTCTCTGCAGCATTCCTTCCTCCAGGATGTGGGGTAGGACTCTTATCTGGAATGAAGGTCTTAAGACCCACAATCAAATTAGAGTCCTGTCTTGGGCAAGCAGAAAGAAGGGCAGGAGAAGGTCAGAAAAAGAGAGATTCTGTTTACAGTAACGGGCTATGAGAGTTAGGAGCCAGGAACCATGTATGAACAAACATATATATATCTGTCATATAGATCATAATATCACAGTCATATAGGACCACATTTTCACTGCCAACAGTTCAGACACATAGAGTCCACCTACCTTTGTTTGCCCATCCCCAGGCACTGTGCCCTTTTCAGAGGTGCTTCTGTGATCAGCCAAGCCGTTATCTTTTTCTGGATCTGTGTGTACAAAAACAGATATGTCGTGTGGCTTTTTAAAAAGTGAATGTAATCCCAGCACTTTGGGAGGCCGAGACGAGTGGATCATGAGGTCAGGAGATTGAGACCACCCTGGCTAACACGGTGAAACCCTGTCTCTACTAAAAAAATACAAAAAAACTA